CCAGGTTTGCCTCACCTAAATGAAAGTTCCAACTCCTGCCCAACACCCACATGTCCATCATATGATCCAATCAGGCACCAACCAAAACTGGAGATGCCTCCAGTCACCTCCTCGCAGCTGCAGGGCCAGGTGGCCTTGACTTTCTGAGAAAAGAATGTTATTTTGACTATATAGCACCCATGTTGCTCTACATAGTCCCCCTTCCCGTTTTCCCACAATAGAAAATGTGGCAGGCCTGAAGGCCCAATGTAAAAGATGGCTTCCAGGTCTAACAACAATTTTATTTTCTGCTTTGACAACTGATCTGCCATTTAAACAATGGCAAATAGATACAAATGCAGGTTGTGCCCCAAAATACCTTTGTGACTCTCGGCACAAGAAACATATTATGGAAAAGAAATTATAAGTAAACACAAATGGCTTAACTTATTATGGCATATTGTCGAAGAGAATATCAAATAAGATCAAGAGAAGATCTGATGGCAGAAGGATACACTTGTCAATTTTTTTAAAGGGACAGTTACTAGAAAGATTTAAAATAGATTATAAAAACCTTTCATTTTTAGCATTGTTAATGCTGAGTTTGAAATTGAACTGTACACAAATGATGAACATGTTATTGAAAAGGTACAAACTTTTAATGGATAGTAAAAGAATTTTGAAGAAATTTGAATGATAATTGCCATTATCATTCTCAATGGATTTTTGATGATCCTCCTAATGATGGGTTCCTACCGATTCTGCTCGGTTCAGCCGAACCAGTAGTAGCATGGTTGCCTGGGTCGCTGGAACTGGCAGTGATCCAGGCTTGCCATGCCCCCGAATGGATTCTCCCAGCGGCACCTATGGCACCACCATCTTGTTTTTTTGCTTCTGCACATGCACAGAGCAATTTTAGTCATAGGGCGCATGCGCACATCCGTGAGCGAACCGACAGTAGTCTCTGCTGGAACCCACCCGTGGATCTTTTCATTATATATATTACATATTATTTGGGGGAAATCATCTAGATTTTTGATAAATTAAAAACAATAAATCATGAAGATTTCACTATCTTTAAAAGTGGAGAAAACTTTCCACGGAAAAAATAGTATTTAATTGCTGAGACCTTTGTTTTGATTAGCACCCTTCCTATCTTTCTATAATCTTATGCTCTGGGAAGCTAAACATCCTTTCCTTACAGAAGAAATGCTAATCACATAGTGTTCTTATGCTTAAATAAGAGGAGGAGCAACAAAGTGAAAAAAAGAACCTCTAGCACTTTGTAAAATCTTGGACAGTCCAGTCTATATTTTTCCTAATGCACTTATTGGCAGAGGATTTTGGCAGTCATTACTTTGTTCTTCTTCATTCATTTATTTATAAATTTTATTGGCCGCTCATCTTACCATAGGGTATCTCTGGGCAGTTTACAACCATCAAAATATGTCTATACATGTACATTTAAAACCAAATAATTAAAATCAAGATTAGAACCTAAGGACATATGGAGAGGGCAGGTGAAGGTGGCATCTGTTGTTACTTGATCAACACTTCACTGTGATTCAACCACAGGGGCCCGAAGCCAACTGGCAGAGCCTTGTCTTTAGGCCCTCATAAAAGGATAGGAGAACAGGTAGAATATGTATTCTAAACAAACTCTTTCCAGAAACTTAATCATTATTATCCTGATTTCTGGGCTCAGAATTCCATCCCAGGAGCCTTCCATTATGTTACCATCCCTGTGGCCTCTCAGGTCAAAATAAATGAATTAAACTCAGATTAACATTGTCTATTCTTGTGCTGATTTTTTCAGTACAAAAAAAAATAAGAAAATGAAATAGAAGGCATGTGGTTCTTCAGCCTAAATGTGAGCCACAGCAAATTCTTGAAACTTGCAGCCCAGATTTAACAGCTCTTAATGATTGTGGAAGGATGAACTGCCCTGAAACAGGAAAAAAAAATGTTGTGTGTGACTCTCAAGGTCAAAGTATTTTCTCTGAGGTGCTCCAATTGTCAAATGTCCAGCTTAGGCACATAGGCAGTGACAGAGAAAAGGAAAGAAAGTGTGAGGCCCTTAGAATGCCTGCAAGCTGGAATATAGGATTTCCAAGGAAGGGAGTCAAAAGATGTCTCCTTGCAAAGGTGCTTTGCTTTTGCTCTTCTTTAGGACTCAGCTAGGATGCCTTTAAAAGATTTTTGCTGTTTGCTTGACTGCCTTTAGGACCCAACTAGGAATCTAAAGGGGAATCCTAGTTGGCTTCTCAAGGCAGTTAGACAAACACACTTGGCAAGGACCCAGCCTTTGCCCCGTTTGCTGCACGTGCAGCTGCGCTCCTTAGCCAGCTAAACCTTTTGAGCTGAACTTTTTCTTCAGGCCCTGAAAAAACTTGCAGAAAGAGTTTCTTTCCTTACTTCATTCCTTTCTTCTCCTCTTCAGCTGGATGGAATCAAGGTAACTAACTTACAGATTTTGTCATCCTTTTTCCAGGCATGCAGTGATTTAGAAAATGAGGCTTTCAACAGGTGTGTATCTAGCTTTAGAAACTTTTGTCACTTGGAACTTTTTCTCCACAGTGATGGAGAAATATTTCNGCCGCTCAAACACTATACTTTTCCGCTCACACTGAAAAAAAATTAGAGGGAACATTGATCAGCAAGGCAATCAATTTTTAAGCCAACGTCATTGATGCTGCTACAGGGTTAAGGTGATTCCTATCCTTTTAATCTCTACATTGGCACCATCTTTCATAGTTTCCTTCTTAGAACTCTTTGTAAATCCATCTACATTTTGGTGCAGTGGTTACAATGCAGTATTGCAGGCTAACTCTGCCTACTGCCAGGAGTTCGATCCTGATGGGCTCAAGGTTAATTTAGCCTTTCATCCTTTGAGGTTGGTAAAATGAGGGCCTGGATTGTTGGAGGGCAATATGCTGACTCTGTAAACTACTTATAGAGCGCTGTAAAACATTGTGAAGCAGGATATAAGTGTAAGCGCTATTACTATCTTCTTAACACCACCTGCCAATAGATGTAGACCAATATGCTTAAATATTAATTATTCAACTATGACTGAAAGAAGGATACTGAGTCTAGTAATCAAAGTGGCTCACTAAATGATGCCAGAGGTTGTAGAACAAGAATGCCTGTGAGCTCCCCTATAACTAGAATTAGAACAGGAAATACAGGTTCCAACTGGGATGAAATCATTCCAAGGATACAGTCATAGAGGCATTGTTTCTATTTTGCACTAGACATACAGATTTCATGCTGATTGACTTCCAGTATGGTAGAGATGACATAAAGTATGAGGGCCAGATTGATAAATTGTGTGTGTATTGCTTTTTAAGGGATGCTAATCCCACACTTGCACATCAAATGGCAAATCCTTGTTCAAGTTACACAACTATGCAAAACTTTTAATTAGATACGCCCTATTTTATTGTCTATGGTTTTTTTTCCTGCTTTCCCAATAACAAATTGTTGCATCGGACCATTTCTCTTTTTCACTATACACATCTGTAATAAAAATACTTGATTTGACATAAAGTCCTTAGCCACTTGTATGGTACAGAGTCAGGGATGTTGTAAAATTTGTACCATGCCATAAGAAATTCTAGGAATGGAGAGACTCCATTCCAGGCGCCACAATCTATTTCTGAATTGGAATAATCCAGAATTCATTTCTACCTGTGACAAAGTATTAGTATAGAATACTAGGTCAAAAAATGCTTAAAGAATGTCTATAGGCATGCATTCCAGAGTAGTTTCTCCCATTAACTGTACAGTAATCATTTTTAGAGAGATGCCTTGGGATGAACACTTGATTGTAGAATTTCTTTCCCATTAACTCTTCCTAAGTGGAGATGAGTCTTAAGTGGAAATAAGAATCTGCCTTTTCTTTTATTGTGCTCATTTCATAAACGGAGACTACGATGGGCTTTGTGAAGCTTCAAAGGCTAACAAATTAATCTTGGTTATTTTCACCACAAAAGACTAAAACAGCCTCTTATACATTGATGGAAAAGCATGCCCTTTTGTCTCTGAAGAATAACACATTTGGGAGAAAGCTAAACTTCATTTTATTCAAGTGCAGTATATCGGAAGTGGGCAATGTGATTTCAGACTTCAGGTGTTGAGCTCTTATATGTCTACTACAGGGGTGGGCGATCCTCTAGATAAGTATCTGCCGAGTTCGGCGAAGCCACAAATCCCACCCCTGGCTGGCTCCGTCCTCTCTTCCCTCCCTGCCCCTCCCACAACCGGTTTGGGATGCCAGATAAGTACAGGGTCTGTGCAGAGGCTCAGGGAGGGTGAAAAACGGGTCTCCCAGATGTCCTGGAAGGCCAGAAACAGGCTTGTTTCTGACCTCCAGAGGTCCTCCGGAGCCTGGGGAGACTGTTTTCGCCCCCCTGGAGGCTCGAGCAAAGCCTCCGGAGCCTGGGCAGGGTGAAAACACCTCCCCTCCGCCATGATGCAGGATGCTGACTAGGCCACGCCCACCATGGCCACACCATGCAGAGAACCTGTTGCTAAAATTTTTGAAACCCATCCATGATCTACTAGGATTCCTGATGCCTGATCTGTTAAAATATTTTAGAATAAAAAATTAGGCTGACGTAACCAGTGGTGGGTTGTCAACATGGGATGCTTCTGCGCATGCACAAAAGCATCCGGGTAGGTGGGTGGAGCCTCCCACCACCACTACTACTGGTTCATCCGATCCAGGCCGAACCTGGAGCAACCCATCTCTGGGCGTAACCCAAGCCAAAGCGCCAACCTCTAGGATTTTATTTGCAGGAATGCTGTGGGGCCAACCTGATTTCCTTCAGAGAATTTGGTCTCCAACTCTCATAATTCGTTGCCAGTATGGCCAATGCTATCAATGGATTATGATTTCTGAAGTGCTAGATTGGGACTAAGCCAGACCAAATGGCACTGATCCAAGGTTGTTAATGTGTCACAGGTCTTCCTGTGTGTTTGTACAATATTGAAGCCTTCTTTGCTTGTTTTTTTGTTAGGAGATTTGTGGCACAGAGAATTTCTTAAAGAATCTGAGTCACCTAAATCCCATTTGGACAAAGTGGAGACATGGCTGTTGAAGCAACAAGCAACAACAGAGTCGTCTTCAGATGCTTCCAGCACTGACACCAATAACTGGAGCGATTGCAACGACAACTTTAGGAAACCTTATCGAAGGCCTGCTTTAGTGAGAACAAAGACAGAAAGGATTACCCTTTTTGATGATTTCTTTGATAAAGAACTTTAAATTATGTAAATCATGTATAAAACAGCCTTTTAGAGAAGGTATTCTGACATTATTCTCCCCTTCCATTTGTAAATCTCCTATTATCTATCTATCTATCTATCTATCTATCTATCTATCTATCTATCTATCTATCTATCTATCTATCTANGTTCCATGCGCCTTTGGCATTTAGTCATGCTGGCCACATGACCAGGGAGATGTCTTCGGACAGCGCTGGCTCTTCAGTTTTGAAACTGAGATGAGCACCCCCCCATAAGGTCGGGAATAATTAACACATATGAGCGAGGGGAACCTTTACCTTCATCTAACTCCCATTGAGTTCTCACAAAGAAAGGGAGAAAGTTTAGATCTAGCTTAAGAAACATATGCTACATTTTCTGACTTTTGAAAGGATTCCAATTTTTGGGGTGCAGGTGGGGTTGTATGAAGGAATGAAAAGGAACAGAGAGAAAGCCAGTGCATGTTGGATGAAAGGTACATATGAGCAGGATCATCCTGCTTATTACTGTTTGATAATTTGATGAATAACCTACAGAATATATTTATAGTCTAAAAACATTCAAATTCCACCAAGATTCTTCAACTGGCAAAAAGCCATTATTTTAATAGGGATGGAGCCAGGAAAATTGTTGCTACTCAGCTCTTCCTAAAAGAATCACCAGCTCAGGAAATATGAGGCTGAAATCAGTGTTTATTTTCTGTTTTTAAAATAACCTCAACTAATCATGTGATATTTCCAGTATATCCAGGGTGCCTGTCACTAAAGCATATAAAACTTTAATGTAACAAGATTTATATGCATGTGAAACAGTCCAGCGACATCAACAGGGCTGTATGAATTTATACAGCTACTTCATTTGCTGAGGGGTTCCATACAGCTGACATAACCTTCTCTCCACCCCCCCTCTCTCTTTTTCTGTGAAATTCCATTGCCAAAACTTCTTTGCACTGTAGCACTGGGACTGGTAAGCTGCAGCTTCTAGCATAATTTTACAGCTCTCAGCCCAGTTTTGAAAGACCTCTGCCAAAAATCAGCTCAGAGCCCTGGCATGAGCAATTTGTTCCTTCTCTAGCAGTCTCTTGGTTGGGGAGGGAGGGAGCGAAGGGATTGACAGAGAAGGGAAAAGGGAGTAAAAACTGAAGTTGGAAAATGAGAGAAAGAGAGTCGGTGTGGAGCAATGGTTAAGGCACCAGGATGGAAATTGTGTGAATTCTAGTCTTTCCTTAGGCATGAAGCTAACTGGGTGACCTTCAGCCAGTCATTCTCTCTCAGTTCCAAAAGGAGACAATGGCAAACCACTTCTGAAAAATCTTGGAAAGAAAGCTGCAAAGACAGTCACCAAACAGTCACCAGGCATGAAAACTGACTTGAGAAAGTGGGAGAGAGGGAGGAGGGAAGGGGGTAGTAAATCCCAATCATTTCTAGTTCTTCCATTTTTGCTATAAAAGAAACAAAGCCCTGGATTAGATATGTGCCTAGATGAAAGAGAAAGACTGTGTAAATAGATTTCATTCTCCATGATTGAGGGCATCAGGTCCCAAAGTATCCCAAAATATCAGCGAGTTCAACCTTCTACTTTCTTCTGACTAAATGGGAATAGAATATTTTCCTCATGGGGAACTATGGCAGTCTTCCCCAATCTGGTGCCCTCTGGATCTCAGAACCTCCCCAATCATGTGCCCTCTAGCAACCAGACCCTCCAAAGAAGAGACTTGAGATGGGAGCAGTCCAAAATTTTAGAGCTGTTTTCAAACGTACTGTGCTCAGCGAACCAATTGTTACACCAGTTGAATTCCACCACTGCTCCCTTCTATAGTCTTTGCAGCTCAAATTACCAGTTCTGTAAAAAGAAGAATCTACTATGAGTGAAAGTTTACTTTCACATTGGTAATATTCCATTCGATTGTTTCTTCCCTCTTGCTTGCTTGTTCTTCATGTGAAAGATACAAATGAAGAGACAGAGATGGGGTGAGATGGGATGGTCATTTAAGTTGCACAGTTTCCTCCCCCCCTTCAGATTCAGAAGGTATCAAATCCACTCTCCACATCCACATTCAGAGAACTGTGACTCTATGTACAACCTATGGAGATTAGGCTGTCACCCTTCCTCTGAATGAAATCCCAGGTGTGAGCTGAAACACAAGATTTTGCCACGAAAGCCGAACTTTGGTGCCACAGCTGTACTCTCTAATTGCCTAGACATGTCCAGTTAATCAGCATGGACTGTTCTCGCACCATCCCACTTCTGATCAGCATTCCCCAAAGCTTTTCAAAATATGACTCCCTCTCATAAGTCTTTGGATGCAGTGGGCAGATTTTTTGCAGATGATAAATGGGAATGTTGTCCCTGATCATTGTTGTGCACATGTTTTAGGCAGTCTCTCCCCAGAGTTGCTTTTTCAGCAATCGACTGCCTTTCTGGAAAATTGGACTTCCTATCTCACTGCATTTCAGAAGCTTCCCTAAATGTATGAATTAAGCTGTAATCTGTTTCACCACAAAGCCAAACCTGATCCTGGCAGCATCTCCAATACATCAACGCATTGTATATCACTTATCCCAGATTTCTGATAACACAAGATAAGTGTTTCTCTGCTGTTCTGAAAATGGGGATGGGACATAAATGCTCACCTTTAAATGACAGCGAGTGAATTTTTTAAAAAAATTGGAAGATAAATTGGGAATACAGGTAGTCCTCGACTTAAGACCACAATTGAGACCAAAATTCATGCTAGTAAGTGAGACATTTGTTAAGTGAATTTTGCCTGATTGTGTGACCTTTCTTGCCACAGGTATTAAGTGAATCATTGCAATTATTAAGTTAATAACACAGTTGTTCAGTGAATCTGGCTTCCCCATTGATTTTGCTTGTCAGAAGGTTACAAATGATACTGGAACACTGCAACCGTCATAAATATGAACCAGTTGCCAAGCTGGTTGAGAGTCGTGGTGGCACAGTGGTTAGAGTGCAGTACTGCAGGCTACTTCTGCTAACTGCCATCTGCCTGCAATTTGGCATTTCGAATCTCCCCAGGCTCAAGGTTGCCTCAGCCTTCCATCCTTCCCAGGTGGGTAAAATGAGGACCCAGATTGTTGGGGACAATATGCTGACTCTGAGCTTGTTTGGAGGTTCTAGCAGGGGAGCGCAGAGGGCTGTAAAAGCACTGTGAAGCGGTATATAAGTCTTAAGTGCCATTGCTATCTAAATTTTGATTATGTGACCGTGGGGATGCTGCAATGGTCGTAAGTCACTTTTTTCACTTTGTAACTTTGAACAGTCACTAAGCAAACTGTTGTAAGTTGAGCATACCTGTCTATACCCTTTATATATGATATAAGAACTGCCAAGGACTAATGGCTTAATTAAATTATATTTCCACTACTCTTCAAAAGCAGGCTTAATTTATTTATGTTAATAATTCTTGACTGGGACTTTTGAAGCAGGGAGTTCTTAAAAAACTATATTGGCAAGGATCCAAAATACCATATTTCTGTCTATATACAAACTTGCAAACATCCAGAGCTCACATACCATCGTTCTTTACTTTTCTAATGCTCCAGGGTATGTGTTTTTTGTCAACACTAATACTGTGTACGTTTATACAAAATTCTTGTTAGGATTGGGACAAATCTCCATGTGAAGTTCCATGCTCTAGAAAATTAGCAGGGTAGGTGCAAGGTTGTGGTAGAAATACTACTGCTGACAATTCAAACCAGACTCATTTAACAATGGTGTTACTAATTTAACAACTGCAGTGATTCGTTTAACAAATCATGGCAAGAAATGACATAAAATGGGGCAAAAATCACTTAACAAATTTCTCACTTAGCAACATAAATTTTGGGCTCAATTGTGGTCATACGTTGAGGACTACCTGTAATGTTATCTTTCATCTTTCATGTTTGAGATGGAAGATTTTTTTAAACTAAAGGATACGATAGACTGAGAATGATACAACACAGACCTACGAACTAAGTCCAAACATAAAAAGTTTAGTTCTAAAGGCTGCTATAATTATTATGACATATACATGGCAAATTGGAAGAATAATGAAACATACAGAGCTAACCCAGTTGACATTTACCAGATTGGGAAAGGCTGATTGGATCTGTTTTAACTCTCCAACTCTGGGCTGTTCAGCTCCAGCAATAAGGCAGCTGTTCAGGTCATTTCTGATTGGTGCAGGTGCCTACAGACCAGTTGTGGGATTCAAAAAATTTTACTACCAGTTCTGTGTGCATGGCTTGGTGGGTGTCGCACAGGAAGGATACTGTAAAACTTCCATTCCCTCCCCACTCCAGGGGAAGGTTACTGCAAAACCCCCCCCCCCCCGATCCTGATCCTCCCGATCAGCTGGGACTCGGGGGCAGAGAACAGATG